CGACGTGCGTGGCACGTTATTACAACGCAAGAGGTTAACCACTTGCGCTGGCAACTGATTGCGGACCATAACGAGTGACCGAACCGTATACGATAATTCGTCGCTTTCTTTTTCTTTTGAACTCTTCCGTCTAATATCATTGGATAGAAATTGTTAAAAGGTAATAAACTTCATCATTCGTTTCGCCTGGGTTACATTTAAATATACTTGAAACTGAGGAAATATTGCTATTTTCGGACAAAAAATTCTCGACGTGCGTGGCACGTCATTCCAGCGCAAGAGGATGATACATCTGCAGAATTCGTAATTTCAGGAGGCCCAAATTATTCAAAATCGACTCATAAATCTTTGGCTCGTTTCCCCCCGGCGTCGATCGATCGTGCGAAACGAAGAAAGAACTTCGTTAAGAGAAATTCGCTGGAGAAATTCACGAGAACAGTGAGTAGCTATAACGACCGATTTTTTTTCGTTTTACTTACCAACTGTTTGATCGACACGCCAGTCGCGATCTTTTCCTTCGTGCATCGGTCTTGCTCGTTTCGAGTCGCCTCCGATACATAATTCTGTGTCTGCATGCACAAAATACAATTGCACAAGGTACAAAGCTAATCACATGCGACTGGATACGGTGATTCATAGTCTACTTGGGCCTGTATCTCAATCCGATACTTCTCTACCATCGTCGTATATGCATTCGAAAACCTCGATACATCACGATACACGTGGGTGATTACACATCGCTATGCATGCAGGATAATTTACGAGTAACGATTTAAAACGGGTATTGATTAGCGATTTCTCTACCTCTGCTGTGTTGTCTATGGTCAGAGACCACCTGAAGCGTTCTCTCCATACTTTTCAACGGGGATTAATAAATCAATGGCACTGGTGGGCAAATAGTTATCGACGAATTTACACGATGATTAATCTTCGTCGACCATGCGACAATAATAGGAAACAGAATTTCGTCGTAGGTCGTCGAAGATGATTTGTTAATTTTAAATCACGAACTCGCGTGAATATTTTACATTTACTGACGATCAAGCGCGAGATCGATCTTTTTCGTTCCTACACTCTGATGATGATCATTGTATTGGATGATTATTGTATCGTCTGTATCGATTTTATACAACAATATTTAGTCGTTTCTAGCAATCAAACCGTGACAAAATGTCCATCGTGTTACACAAATTTTAATTTCTTTTCACGAAATTGTTATTCAAAAGTTTTAGGACAATCCTCCGTGTTTTAATAAAATTTTAATGACAACGATTACTACAATATAACTTTTCTTATAAATTTCGGTGAAACTGTATAAGATATAGTTTCCATAGATGGTTTACATATCGCAGTGATGAAAATTGTTCGAAAATAATATAATTATAGAACTTCTATAAAAATTATAGAACTTTTATAAAAATTATAGAACGTCTATAATAAATTATAGAACTTCTATAAAAATTATAGAACTTCTATAAAAAATTATAGAACTTCTATAAAAATTATAGAACTTCTATAAAAAATTATAGAACTTCTATAAAAATTATAGAACGTCTATAATAAATTATAGAACTTCTATAAAAATTATAGATTGTCTATAATAAATTATAGAACTTCTATAAAAATTATAGAACGTCTATAATAAATTATAGAACTTCTATAAAAATTATAGATTGTCTATAATAAATTATAGAACTTCTATAAAAATTATAGAACGTCTATAATAAATTATAGAACTTCTATAAAAATTATAGATTGTCTATAATAAATTATAGAACTTCTATAAAAATTATAATAAATTACAGAACTTCTATAAAAATTATGGAACTTACAATAAAAATTATAGAACTTCTATAAATATATAATTATAGGACTTCTATAAAAATTATAGAACTTCTATAAAAATTATAGAACTTCTATAATAAATTACAGAACTTCTATAAAAATTATGGAACTTCTATAAAAATTATGGAACTTACAATAAAAATTATAGAACTCCTATAAAAATTATAGAACTTCTATAAAAATTATAGAACGTCTATAATAAATTATAGAACTTCTACAATAAATTGTAGAACTTCTATAAAAATTATAGAACTTCTATAGTAAATTATACAACTTCTATACAAATTGGGAGAACGAACTACGTAACACTTCGTGGTCCTAAGACTTTTGAACTCTGCGTATCGATCTCGATCTCGAACGAGTCACGAAGAACACCATGTCTTTTATCGAGTTTCATTACGATTTTTCCACTGAGGACCGGGCTTTCTCGATCACCGAACGGAGCAGAGAGAGAAAAAAAAAAAAAAAGGAAATGATGACCGCACGCGACTCGAAATTCCTCTCTGTTCGGTCGCGTGAACGGGACACGCGAGCGGATTTACGTCGACCGTGTCTCACGTAACGGGTAACCACCGGCTGAATCGAATCTGATCACGGACAATTTACTGAATCGCGATCCACATGGGGAAAGATCGTAGCCGCCACTTTGCGCGCTCGCTTGGAAATTCGTTTCACCGTGGAGGGGCGTGAAGATGAGATCCCGGTGCGTTAGGTTTCGGGGCGGCGTGACTTACCAGCGATTTCACGTTCACGTTCGACAGATCGTTCTCGTTGGTGAAATCAAGGGTTTCCGGGTTCATCTGGCGGGGGGCGGGGTGCATGCTCGGCTCTTGCAAGTTACAGTTCTGACAAACAGACAAACACACGCAAACACTGTACATGCAACACGGTTATACGTTATCGTATGCAATCTGTCTGGTGAAAAAGACGTGGCCGGATTGTGAAGTTCAGTTTGACGTAATTTTGTGATTGAACTTTCAAGAAAATTTCAAGAAAAAGGTATTTTAACATTTCAAGAGGAGGAAAGTGTTATGTTAGCAATTAAATCGTGAATTAATTTGATAGAAAATAATAACTTTTTAATTGACCTTTGGAAATTTCAGCTGCTGAACTAAGTAGGAAAAATGGAGATATTTTTGGGGAGAAAAGTGTTATGCTAGAAATTAAATCGCAAATTAATTGTGAAATTAATTTGGTAATTAAATAATAATTTTAATTGACCTTTGGAAATTTCAACTGCTGAACTAAGTAGGAAAAATGGAGATATTTTTGGGGAGTAAAGTGTTATGCTAGCAATTAAATCGCAAATTAATTGTGAAATTAATTTGATAATTAAATAATAATTTTAATTGACCTTTGGAAATTTCAACTGCTGAAGTAAGTGAAAAAACGGAGATACTTTTGAAGAGTGAAGTATCACCTTAGCAATTCAATTCCTTATTTTTCACAAAATATAAATGGATTATAGAGTCAAAAGTAGAAATTATATAGCGACACGATAAAATTAATTTTAGTAAGATTCATAGATACACATAGAAATAGAACACTGTTATTTGTAAAAAAACAAACGAGTCATGGAATAATTTTCCAATAGAATTTATGAATATTCTGAAAATGTTCTTTGTGCATAAATATTTAATATCTATGACGATAAACAAGTTTTCAGAAGCATAATAATAATAATGAAATTTAACAGTGAGGACCTTAAATTTCTGTTTTAAAAGAATATTTTAGCACAACTGTGTTATATCGTTCCTACGTAAACAATTAGAAGAATCAGGTTTGATATTTCAAGAAAAATTTCTGCTTTTCGAGCCGATTGCTTTTCCGCAATCCACAAACATCGACGTTGAGAGCTATGTCGGGAAAAATCTAAACTTTATCACCAAATGCAAAGCACAGACGGAATTTTAATTATCGATCTTACTAAATGTTCAACTATTTTCTCGAGGAGTTTTCCTCTCAGGTGGAACTTCCGTTCGAACTTCTTTTTATCCAGACAGTCGATGTTCTTTGTCGTCGAGCGAGTTATTTCCCGACTTAGGCGAGAACTTCTTCTTCCTAAGAACGGATTACTCGGTAACTCGCGACAAAAAGATTCGTACGAGGCTCTTCTTTGTTGAAAAACTCTTACAGCTAAGAAGAAATTCTCTCCGAAGAATTGTTTCAAATACGGATATAGGACAATACGTTCGAGAAACGTGAATGGAGAAGCAGAGACACCGTTCTCTATTCAATTAAAGTCAATTAAAGTGAAAACTCTAGGGACTACTTGCCCGGGAATCGGACATATGAAAATAAGGATTAAACGGTGACTTCCGGTTCCCGTGGAGACCATCATCTACCGATATGGATGCTTAGACATTGCTAATTAACACGACATTCGAGGTTAGATTCGTGCACAGCCTGTTTGTTTGTACCATGATTTCCGTTCAGTTACCGGATCCTCGATCTCGATTCGATCGCCTCAACATCCGGCTGAGACTCGTCTTTATCCGGAGGAAGAACATTCTCACGAGTGTGTTGCTTGCAAGTGCACGGACAGACATCGAGACAACGAAAAAAAAAAAAGAAAAAAAGAGTTCGCGTATGAAAATTTCTTTCGAGGATATGACATTTTAATTCAATTTTACGACGTAGAAACGTTTTATTGTCCAGGAAATTAATCAATAAGGGATCTTCTTTGGAAAAATTTTTTTCGAATAGCTTTCATTTATTACTTTAAAGTATAGTTTAGAATATTTCTGAAATATAGAGATCTCAATAAACAGAAACTGTCCTCTCTCTATCTCGTTCATTCACGTTTCTCATTTTTAGACAAGCGAACGAAATTAAGTGTGACAAATAAAATGAATGAGAAAGAAAATTCGTCGGCTAATTCACTGCTATCTTACCGCTTTTACCGATTTTTAGTATAAAATTGTATCGTTAAATAAAATCATAAAATCTGTTGTCACTTCAGTACGTGAATTTTCAATTTTTCAACGTCTTTCTTGCGCATAGGTGTGTGATCCTGTAAAGAAAATTAAGGAACCTGCCATCAGTGTGTCGACTCACCACAGAGATGTTCTCCTTCTCGAGTTCGTTCTTCTTGCTCTTCTTGGTCTTTTTTGTGCGGGGAGTGAGGTTCGGCGAAGCATCGTTACCGGCGACACCCTCGATCTTCTTCTTCTTTGTCTTGGTGCCACCCTTGCTCGGCGAGGTTACCACGCTGGTGCTTGTTATTATCGTCTCTTCTCGGCTTTCACTCTGCGTTAACAGGGAAAAACAAGATTTACATTGGTCGATTAGAGTTAGGGATTGCTAATGAAATTACGCTATTATCTGCGCAAACAGTTAACTATCTTCCATCACTTTCAGAAGTTTCATCATTTATTTCTGTCGTCTTCATTTTCATTTCGTTTAATTTATAAAACTCGCAAGATTTATCCATATCTGTCATCTTCAGACGTTTTGTTATTTTCTTTCTGACGCCTTTCCAATTCAATTTAATTTATGATATTCATCTATCTATCATTTTCAGAATCTTTACTACTTTCTTTTCGTCGTCTTATTTAACTCAATCTCTGAACCTTACTCGTACAATTTAATATGTTTTATTAACAAATTTTTGACCTAAACCTAACTTGTAAAATGTAGGAAGTTTCGGTCAACGTGGATGCAACGTAAGTTAATTTTAGAATAGTCGAAGCTGATTCTAATCTAATGACTATCTTTAACGATTGATCCACGCCTTCTTTGTAATCAAAGATATTACTAAACTAATCTTCTTTCACGCAACCATAGGAACATAAATGTCACAAATTTTTATTATTGACCGAGAAACGTTCACAAATAATATCACGCGACATCGCACGTGACGAAGAAGGCAAACGTAATTTGTGAAAAAAATTTTTTTCAACTACTTTGCTTACAGAAAATGTCTTTCACATATCTTGACAAGTCTTTCGTCATAATTTTTAGGTTATCAAAATAGAACGATCGCGTTACGACAATAACTTCTTCAACCTCTACCAATTTATTGCAGTTTCATCACTTAGCGTCATTTCAGTTTCTTTTAATTGATGTCATTCCGGAGACAAAAATATCCAGTAATCTTTAATCCCAGCTAAATTAGAGGACGTTGCTCGAACAGTTTTTGCTAATGATATCCTGCGAGTTTCTTCGAGAGTCTTTTTTATCGGGACGCGCATCCGGAGGGAGGAACTCTAGCTCCGAAACTTGCGAAACATTGAAAGCAGTATCAGTTAATAACAGTCGTTATTCTTTCGAAATTTCATAAATCAACGTAGTCTTGATTATTAATTAAGTCATTTAAAATTGAGCTCTTTGGAGCCCCTTGGATGAAAATTGTAAGAAGAAATTTTAAATTGAACGAATTGCAGGATATTTATATATAATTGTTATATAAATTTTATAATATAAAAATTTATAATATTAAATTTAAATTAAAATAAATACAAAATTTATAAGATCAAATTTTATATTTATATTATAACTATATTACTGCCTCGTAAATGGTTTCACTAAATTTTTGTTACACAATATATTAAATCTCAATTTTGCAAAATGCATTAGATGTCAACTCTGATCAAAAATAATCGTTCCCCGATAGTTTAGCCTTAAAACTTGTCCGAATGCTTGTGAATGCAATTATTATAACACTACGAAACTATCAAACAAATGATCCAAATGTTCTTTTCAATAAGAAATATCGTAGGATATTTCTCACAGAACGTTTTAATTATGGTCTAGGTGCAATACGATATAAATTTTTTTTTCAAAAAGTCCTTCCACGGTTCCTTTTTCCACGATTCCGGAAACAAAGTAGCCTGCTATTTTCCATATTGGAAACGTAACTTAAAGCATCAAAAAAATGGCAAAACTTCGAAAGTGGATCAACCGTTCGCGAGTGTAACGGCACTCACGTTCGCGGAAAGCGCTTTCGTTCAATTCCAGATAGCTGATCGAGGTTGATGAATCTAATGAGACGCTTCTCGAGATCGCTCGGTGGAATTCAGAATATTGCTCCGAGCCGTGACGGGGATACAAAACTCCCTTTTCGTAGAACTTTTCGAGTGTACTTTCCTCGATTATGTACGTAGGAATGCGTTTCGCGTCGCGTTTCAATGGGCAAACTCGTCGAGCAAGAGTGAGCTCTCGCGTTAATTAGATATTAACGATCTGACTAGGTATTGCGAATCATGCAATAGAGCGATCTTACTGTTTAACGAGCGAATCGCGAAACGGATGCAACTGTGAGAAACGCTTCTTTTTGAAGAACATTTCCTAAAAATTTGAATTTCCTAGAATTCAAAATCTAGATCTCTAACATAAAAGTTTCTCGTGATTTCACGAGATTTTATTTCAGCGCACGAAATAAAATAATTTTAATAAAATAATTTTAATAAAATTTTAATAAAGTGCTCGATGCAAAATTAGAATGACGTGAAATCGTGCAGATCATTTTCTTTTTTTTTTTTTAGACAATGTGTTTACTTCTGTTTCATGATTTTCAAATCTCCCGTGATAGAAGTTAATAATAAAGTTCAATTAAATAGAAAATTCCAACGCTAATTAATTTAACAGTGAACCATGGTCCCTAGTTAAGAATTAATAGACGCGAGTTACGTTTAAGTTTCATTCACGTGGTGTCTAGATTTTACGTTATCGCGTGACATGTCTCTACCTTGGAACATGTACGTACGCTTATCTAATATCATAATGGAAATAAATTTAACCCCATGGAAGAAAAAAAAGTGGTCCTATAAACGGTTGCCACGGTTTAAAAGATAAGTAAACGACACCTTTACGAGCCTTTTTTAAATGGCAACGGTTGATTTTCTCACGGTGATTTTTGTCCGCGGTCGTTACGCTTAATGAATTTTCCGGTTCTCGCCGCTCTCCTCCCTGCGAATCGACAAGGAGGTCGTTTGACAGATCGTTTCGGTCGAATCGCGACAATTTGCAGGAACTTGATTTTACTTTTTAGTAGCTCTCGAAGATCCCGGTTTTAATTAACACATCTCGCGACGCAGTGATTAAATCCGCGATAAATATTCATAGAGGGAATCGAATAGATCGTTGTCAGACGAATACGAGAACCTCGATCTTACATAAAACGTTGATGAACATTACAGGCTTTCTAGATAATTAAGAAGATCTTTTTGAAATCTTCTATAAATTCGTTTCTCTTTCTTTGTTTTTTTTTTTTTTTTTTTTTTTTTTTTTTTTTATAAAGAGACATATATAAATCTTACGTACGTTCTTAATTGAAAGAAAGTATTAAATTGTGTGTGTGTGATTAATTAATTGCCTTAATAGTTCCTTCCAATTAATTTTTCAATCGTTCGTTCTCTGCAATTTCAGAAAAATATGCAGTTTCGTTTGAAAGTTCATTGTCGAGTTTTAATGTGTAGTTTAACCTGAATTAGAATTAATATATTCGCGTATCTATTTGTGTGTGTGTGTGTGTGTGGACAAAAGTAAATGTTACTACCGTTAATATTATAAAAAATATATTAATATTATTAAAAAATACTAAATATTATTATTATAAAAATTACTAAAAATATTAATATTAATATTAAAAAAATACTAAATATTATTAAAAATATATTAATATTAATATTATTAAAAAAATACTAATGTAACATGGCAACTACGAAAAGTTGCACTATCGTTTCGTCGTTTGGTTATTCAAACTTTTCAAATTATTTTACTCCCGTTGCATATATTTTTCTGTTCATATTCTCAAACAACGTAATATTCAGTGTAATATTCATGATACCATACCAGTTCAACAATATGGCTGTACTGTAAAAGTTTCCAATCAAACAGATTTCTAAAAGCAATGTCTAGAAGGAATTTTGCAACAAGTAAACGGGGTTATATAATGCCTGTTACTTCAAAATTCACTTTCAGGAGCATAAAATGAAACAGCCTGCACGGCCATCTTTCTGTATACGTATAGGATGGGTCCACTGAAAAACTGAATGGTTTGAAAAAGTAATTTGTTCATAACCTGTTCATTTTCTCTTATTGTAGGACTTTATTTTATTTTACTTTTTCGAAATAACGAAAGATTTAAAAACACATGTCTTTGTAAAAGTTTTATATCACTCAGTCTTTCAGTGACCACCCTATATATATATAATATAAATTCTTCACATTCTCATCCTACTCCCTCCAATTCGTCGCCATAAAATTGTGTCTTTTCTCTCGAAACAGACGAGCTGTCTCGAGTTGTAAACAAATGAACGCGGAGTCGCGAAGCGCTTTACGAAAATGGCCACGTGGAAATTCTTCCGCGATCGCGGTCTCGATCGACGCTCGCGCGATTGTTAATTACGCGAGCAGGGAAGTCGGTAAAAGCAGGAGAGCATTCCTTTTCGGCCTCTGTGCGCGCTTAATGAAGAGATCCCGGCGTGAAATTAGTTACGACGATCGCGGCGTGTACCGCACGGCGATAACTTCATCGCGATCCTCTTATTAGACGACGCTGATCGACGCAGTGCCTCGTTACGAGCGTCGCTCGAACCCTGGGACACGTAATTACACCGCCACGTAACTCGCGTACTCGCGATTCGAATGGGCGATTACGCGGCGTTCGCGCCGAAAGCCAACGAGAAACCTTTCGAAAGTTCACCTAGACCAAGTATTCACGTAGATCGCATAAGTATTTGGACAGTTTCTAAATGTATGCAATATATATATATATACAGGGTGTTTCGTAATTCGTGGGGCCCACTTCGGGAGCTGATTGCCTAAAAATAATGAAAAAAAGACATATAAATATATATGTCCTATCTGTCTTCGTTTATGAGATATAATGAATTTTCTGTTTTAATTACTTTTACAAAAAAAAAAAAAAATGCTCGAAATGACCAGCTTGCATTTGAAGACAAGCCACGCGTCTTGTCATTCATCTGGTTACTCTCTCTATCANTTCCTGGTGTTTCTCGAATTTGTCGGAAGCCTTGCTCTATTCTATTTCGTAGTATTTCAGCATTTTCAATCGACGTTGCGTATACAATAGATTTTAAATGTCTCCATAAATGAAAATCTAATGGATTCAAATCCGGAGAACGAGCAGGCCATGCAATAGGACCTCCACGACTAATCCATTTATTTGCAAAGTGTTGACTTAAAAATTGTCTAGCCACTCGGCTGAAATGCGGCGGAGCTCCATCATGCAGAAACCGCGTACGAAGTCTAATATCGACTGAAACTTCCTCTAATATTTCGTG